ACCAACCCAGAATAGCAGGGCCAGTTTCGTCAAGGCCAGCACTTGCAGCCCTGGTGTTCTCACCAAGTCTGCATCTACATGCAGCCAGTGCTTCTGCGAGGCCAGTTGGATGGTGTCCACCGTACTTGTGCCAACTGCCAAAGCTTACGGAATACGAATTGCCCGGGGCCTTCCATCCCACCATACCCTTGAAGCCTTGCTGTTGGCAAGTAGAGGTATTGTGCCACCCTCGCTGAGCTTTCGAACCGTGCTAGCTTGTACGGAGCAAAGCTTCACAAACGCACGACACAGGAAGTGCAGCGACTGCTTGAGTCTCGATTCGTGCAACTTTTGAGGAGGGGTAGTAGAACATGAAGCACACTACTCCCAAAATATCCATTGTGGGGTCTCCCTACTTTTAAGGAATTGCTTGGAGGACCTTGAAACCATTGTTGTTTTTGTTTGCCGCAAGGCCGCCAGCCTCTTCCTGGATCCAAGCGATCTCAACCGGTGCCTGGTTGCAAGCGGTTTCAATGCTTCAGACAAGCTTGTGGTCCTTTCGGAGGTACTGCGAGAGCTGCTGGATTGAGTATTACGGGCACCCACCTTCTCGCTCGGAGCTGGCGCTGGTTCCGGTAGAGGCGAAGCGGCGAAGCATGATAAGGTATGATATGCATGGAAGCAGAATGAAGCAGATTGCAAAGCATCACCTGAACGTAGCTCCTTTTGCGACATTGATGTACAAAGTGCACAGTGTTGCTTATTGAAAGCGCAGAGCTTGGGCAGGTGTCAGAGCCTTTGGCAGAGGACCGAGTTCAAGAGTCTACAGACCGTCTCTTGCACTTCGCAAGCGCAGGAAGTCCTTGCAGAGGCCTGGTCGGAGCAAATTCTGCCAGGTTGGCCTCCACCCTTTGCTTCAGCCCCAGGGGCCCAGGGTACTGCATTGTACGCAACCCCTCCCCCCTCCCCCGCTGCTGAGTTGTTGATGTGCTTGGATGTACCGGAGGTGATGATACCATCTCTGTTTCCCACATGTTACGTTGCTGATGCGGTTCTGGTTGCATGTGAGAATGCCTGGAGGCTGCCTCGCCAGCTTTTTTGTCCCCTCCGTTGCTGATTGCCCGCCTCGTCAGCTCTGTTTGCCTTCCGTTGCTGATGTGGCACGGACAGGACGAGCTTGAAGTTTGCAGGCTGGCTGAGAAGCGACATGACTGCGTCCGGCTGACACCTGAGCGCCACGAAACTGGTGAATGAAGTCCACAGACTGCGCATGCCGCGGCGACTACATGGGATGCACATTCTGGAGGTCGAGATGCTGTCGTATTAGTCAAGCTTCCATTCACCACTTCAGAGTTCCTTTCTTGAGCGATGTGAAGACGGCTGCAGAACCCAGTACAGGCGCAGTTCGGCTCATGCATTTCGCACATTGAAAAGTGCCGTGGCCCACGTCTTGGGGGCAAAAATTCTGCTTCGTCTCGTTTAATCCAGCTGGCGGACCGAGCAGGGGTAAGAGAGCAACCCTGTCCGGCCGTCGTCCACTCAAACGTTTTTCAAAGAACCCACGCAATTTGTGAGGTTGGACCCAGTTTTGAGCAACCTGCGGCAAGTGGCAGCTTTCCCCCCAGCCTTCTGACAAATGTGATTTCCTACTGGCCGATGTACAGTTTTGGTATGTTTCGTCCAGTGACGTTCTCGCAATGGCATCTCGTAAATTCGCTGCCAGTGTGGGATGATAGGCTTTCCATCACATTGTGCGCAGCTTGAGGCTGCGATTGCGTGAAATCGAACTTGCACGGGCTGCATTCGCATGAAACTTGCAGGATCCACTATGCTGCACACCTTCCTGCATGCTTCAGGTTTAGTGCGGCAAGCGATTCCGAAGCAATGGAGCTGATTGCATTAGTGCATGGATGGCATTCGCAACCGAAACAGGTCAGTTAGGATCCTGCGACAGGGATTCGTCGGCGGGGGTGACGCAACGGTAAATTGTACTACGGTGGCACCTCAAGCAATGCCGAAAGGAGGTTGTGCACTCTAGTGAGTGCGTGCGGGCTGTGGCCCATCCGCTTTCCGGGCTTTTCCATCAAACTGTGTAGAGCTTGAAACCGCGGTTTTTGGGAGCTCGAACTTGCAGTGGCGTTTGATGTGAAACAGATCGACAAGCTTGAATGGTCAATCAATCATAGCCGAGCACTAGCCGAGCGGTAATTTCGCCTCGAACTACACATTCGCCATACGGATGCCTATAGTGGACATGGACCACGAGCCCCAAACAGACTGTGCGGCGAAGGGGCGTGCTTGAAGCCGGTCCAGCAGACCTGCAGAACATGTGCCATACCACCGGTGCAAGTGCAACGCAGTTTTTGTTTTTCGTGCTTGTGTGGTTGTTGCAGTGCACTGGTGCTCCTGTATGCAATTGTTTGATTGCATGCGATTTGCATCATTTGCTTCGGCCGAGGGTGGGGGTGCAGAATAATGCAACCAGAATCGGCTCATCTGAACCAGCACGAGAGGTTCCATATCCGGCGTGCCAATCGCGCATGAACAGGCCTCCAAGGCTTTCCAGTTGCAGTGGCTGTCCCGTATGAATACGAAACACACCAGAACCTAGCTTTGTTGTGCCGCTTACCTGTATTTTCTAGCCTCATCGAATCCAAGAATGCTTCTCCGCAAAACATTGGCGAGCCCTTGAGTATGGCGTGCCTGCCATCCGAGGTGTCAGGCAGAGTACTTCCGGACGACGGACCAGGTGCATAGACATGCTACGCCACCAGTGCGACAAACATCGACAAACAACACTTCAAGTCACGTATACTTTCGCCGACAGAAACGTGGACCTTCGTGCGGATGCGCTTGCGCCGTGACATCTGCGGTGATCGTCTCAGAGGGCAGACCAGGGATGACAACATGCCCGATAAGATTGCAGGTTTCCGCAGTTGCACTTGCAAGGGTTTCCCCGCTGAGTCAACAGTTAGCGTTGAAACATCGAAGAGCATCATCCGCCCTTGCTGCAGGCTTGGATTAGAAGTGTCCTTTTGCTTCGGCGCGTGTTTGCGGAATCGGGCTCCAGCTGCAAAGTCCGTACTACTGCAGATCTTAGCCGCTGCACAAAGCCGCGCTGGTCTCTGTGTCGCCAGAGCGCATCGGGGCGATTGAAGCAACAGCCCAACCCATTCACCAGCGTCAGGTTGTGGCTCCACACCCCGAGCCCCAACATTCAAAGAATCGCGCAGCGGCGGCGTCTAGTGCAAGGTGGCCATGCGCGGGAACAGCTCAGCAGCTTCGGTCGGGAGCTTAGCGGGGTGGGGGTTGGGCGGGGGCTAGGTGGGTGCTGGATGTGCTGGTGAGCCCAGCAGCCGTTCTTCAGGCCTGGCAACGGGAGAAGTCCTCGCCCAAAGGCCCGAGAGAACTAATCGGCAGTGGTACTCACTCAGATTGTGCTGATGAAGAAGGGTTGGCTTTTTCTGCCCAAGTATTCAGGTATCAGGTGGAACATCCTGTTGGCGAAGGACATTTCACAAAGGCGGGGTGAAGCCGCTGCCATCGAAAGATCTGCCCAATGCGTCGTCTTCTGCTCGTTCTTGATTGTTGCACTTCTGCGCAGGCTTTTCAGGCCCGTGATCTCAAAGAAGGTCGGCAGGTCTGAGTCTCACGGCAAACCTGTCAGTCTGGTGAGGGTCAGAGGAGCAGCGGCGATTGCACTACACCTACGGGCTTGGCTGTTGTGTTGGCGTCGCGCACTGATTGGCGCTCAGCTGTACACAAAACTATCACATGGCCGCCACCTGTACTGTACACTCGAGCGCACACATGAGAGTGGCGAGAAGGTTGGAGACATAACATGGCGTGTCCCAGAGCATGAGATACTACACCATCTTGTGAGCTTGACATGTCAAAACACGGGCATCATGTAGACAAGTAGGACTAAGTAGGAGCCTGGTGAGATGCATTATTCCGAGCGAGAAACGCAAGGAAGGCACGCAGTGATTGCATGTTCGTACTGTATTGAGTTTGAGCAGACAGGAGACAAAGACTGGTTGGGCATTTCGACCAGTTTGCCTTCTTCCCTTAATCGCTGAGAAGTACAAAGTCTCCCCTTCCATTCTTAAGGAAACTCGGACGTGGTATGTTGGGTTTACCGTGGCTGTTCCACTAGCGCCTAACTATGCCTCTCCCGGCCTCGCTCACTCTGTTGCAATCAGGTGTGTGTGAAACGCCACAGGAATCTTCCCATTGAGGCCGGCTGAGACTGAGAGGATGCCGGCATTTGCCGCACATTGCTCATCATTGCTGGTGACCTGCTGGTGGCTGCAGGCCTTGAGCGATTTGTATGTCATTGGACAACGGCTGCAGGAAGTGGACCCAGGCTACAAAGATCTCAAAGCATGCTTGAGCGCCAAGCAGCGACATGTAGCATGTAGCGAAAGATAGCGAAAGCAGGTGGGAGCTTTTTTCCAATGCTTGTTGATGCCTTCTACGACTCGGCGCAAGCCTTTGCTCCGGCGCCGTTTCTCGCTGAGCTCTGCTGCGTTCTGCAGATTTTGTCCAGGTAGGCTACACAGTCGAGAGCATGTTAGAGGCTTGGGCATACAGAAGCCAGCTTTCTGACCTCAGAGAGACCCAACTGCGTTTGACTCGCCTTCAGGGCCGCAATTGTTTGGCACTGTCTACCGAGCCGAGTTTCTTCCAAGACTTGGGGCGCTGGCCTCGATTGAGGGCTGAAGAAGTGTCCGCTGGGACAAAAAAGGTTCTTCCACAACTCTCCGTGCAGCAGACTATCTGCCAGGGATCGAAACGGTGTTAAAGGTTGAAGAGCTGCTACACCGCAAGAGGTCTGCCAGTTTCCGGATTCCGAATTAACGGGGGCTCCAGAGCTGAGATGCTGGAAGCCGTGCAGGTTCAGAAACCAGAACTCCGAAGCTGACGATCATGATCAGGCTTCAGTAGAAGAGTTTAGATGCAGGGGAGGGGCGGAATCACATAAGTCAGAGTTTGGGAGGGCTCTTGGGGAAGTGTTGGATGCCGTGATGTCAAGCTCGTGATGATCTCTAGTGACTCAGCTCAAGGGGGATTAAACTACATGCATGGAATGGAAGGTTCTGAAGTGTATGAAGTGCCGTGTTACGACCTGTTCCCGTGAAGAAGGCGATGTCGGGCTGAAGCATATAGACAGAGCGAGAGAGAGAGAGAGAGAGAGAGAGAGAGAGAGAGAGAGAGAGATGGAAGACTATGTGTGACTCATGTGCACCAAAGTGGCGTCATGCTTTTTGGTCTCAGCACTGTGCGCGAGCAAGAGTTAGCTACAGGTGAAACTTCCAGTCGTAATAAAAAATTGCTGAAGGCCCGTGACACGTCCAGTTTGTCATGTTCCTCAGGAAGCTACGGCTCGTGGCTTTTGGAGCTCTTTCAGGTGGAACTCCGGAGCGAATCTTCTTGACATCTTGTGAAAGCATGTGGGCAGGTTTAGTGATGTTGGACAAGGCGGGCGTCGTTCACAACGACATCAAGCCGGACAATCTTATCTGGACCGAGGTGCGACAGGGACATGAGCAGTAGCCGTGGCTTTCCGGTGTTCACGACTGCACATTCTACAGGTCCATGGCTCTGGTCCTCGTGCCACTCGGCGAGACAACAGCCGTTGTGTTTCTTGCCGGACCCTGCGGATCGCCGTAGCCTGCGCCGGTCGGGACAAGGGTGCCGACTTGTGATGGGTCGCTGCAACAATCTGCCATCAGGTGCCGTTTTGCAATGCGGCTGCATTGTTGTCCCAATCGTGTAATGTTGGGACATGATCTAGCAATGCTCAGATTGATTTTGATTCTCGTCACCAGTGTTAGGCAATCGAAATGTATGTGCATGCCCGAGATTGCCCGAGCGCAGTAAGTCGTTGAGGTAAAGATTGTGGACTTCGGATGCGCCCGCGACGAGCTCAGGAGCCTGCCGGAGGAGTGCTGCGAATGAAGTGTCTGGCAGCCGTTCTATGCTTGAGGTCTTGACCATCGTCATGAAAGCGGCCGCAATTGGCAAACCTGGCTACGTCGAACAATTGCTGCTTATCCCCGGTATCCCACGCCCTTTCGCCGTCTCGCTTTCGTCCAGTCCGTGCTGCAGTTTTCTTTCTGCCAGGGCTCTTGCCGAAGGTGGCGCTGGTCATTTGGGTTCGTGTCTCAATCGAAGCCGATGCGGCCATCTTCTGTGTCTTTGGACAGACCATCAGACTGGGAACTGATGAGATGTCAGGCAAGTGGGCTCCTGAGATGACCCTCCGCCTCGCTATTGGGCATCGCGCAGATGTTTGGGGTACTGCCGCAAGAGACCCAGATGAGGAAATCGCAGTCGTGCTCTTTCTCCGGCATACAGAGAGTGGCAGCGTGCTGACAGGTATCTTTGTGTGAACTGCTTTGTGGGCGCACGGTCTGGCGATCGGAGATGGACACAGCGGAGGCCACTCGCAAGCGCTGTGCAGGTTCACTGGATTTCGCAAGTCGTGGCTCTACCATGCTCTACCATGCCGTGAGGTTGTGATGACACAAGCGCTTGGTTTATGTAATCTACGTGACGGCGTGCCGCCGCCCCGTCCTCATGAAAACAGGGTGCCTGCTGTTTGCAGTGGGCATGTGCTTGGCCGTCGTCGTGACACGTCGTGACCATTATCGTACCGGTGTTGAAGGTCTCTTCTCCGACGAAGTCCACTGGACGTTCGCCAGCTCTACACCCCGGCTGCCTGGACGAATTCGTCTTCCGTACAAAGCATGTAGCGGAAGTATTGATTGGGGGATGTACAAACATCGGTCAGCCATAGTAAGCTTTTTGAAGGCATGTTCGGGCTTGCAAGGCACCGCGGCACTGGCCACTACGGCGAAATGCCTCTGGCCAGATGGAGACGCTTAGGCAAGCTCCCAAGACTTGATCACTGGGTGTTGCCGTCATTCGAGGGGCTGCGGGACCTGGGTTTCTGCGTTTCAGCGCCAGATCTCAGAACTCACAGTGTCATTCTGACCCTTCCTGACAGGTCTGCGGTCTCATACACGGCTGGTAAGAGAGGCGAGGAATATGGTTATGAGTACCTGCCCGCATCATTGTATTACAAAACTAAGGGGGCCAGGCAGTCAGGAGCCAGCAGTCGGATAAAAGTAATTGGTACAGTGAAATCCCTGTATAAGATCCCAATTCCGCGAGAGTAGCCTACCCTCCGTTACCTCTGGTTTTGCCGGCTGAGTAGTTAGTGAGGTTAAGGTTCTTCACCGCGTGCTTATCTAGGACGCAGTGTGTACCTTGAGCCAAAATGGCCACGGTATCTACTCTTACCTGCCCTGCCCCTGGCCTGCCCAACCATACACAACCCGGCATTTTCCATTTTGGAGTTAGTGTCTGACACCAATTCGTTTTTGCCTTTGTCCACCCCTGCCCCCAAGTCCACCCCCACCCCTGCTTACCCCTGCCTGCCCTGACCCTGCCCTGCACAGCCATGCACGGCCGCATCTTGCATTTTGGAGTAGCTCTACCGGTCATCATTTGGGCCAGTTCCGCCTTGGACGGCGGGGCCTGCTTTTGGGTTACTTGCTAGCAGGGTGCTTGCCAAAGCATAGCATGCACACATGTGCGAAGTGGCACTTGTCACTCAGCGCAGCCCTTGGCGTTGTAGCGGAAGCAGATCGGGCTCCCTTCCGGTGTACGGGAGGACGCTTCCTTTGGCTTCTTGGTGTTGCCCTCTTTGCCTTTGCCACCCCCTTCCTGGTTTTTCCTTAGCTTCTTGTTGGGCCGCCTTTGATTAGCGCGCCGCCATTGCCGGCACATAGCGTGGAGCGCTAGCGGGGTGGAAAAGTTCCGCTCCTTGACTGGAGGCTCGATCCTTGTAGCTGTGGGTTAGCACGGCTCCGAAGTTGTAGCCTGCTGCAGCCATGACCTAGCTTGCAGGCGTGCTTGCGAACTCGTTTCGAATAGCGCCATGTTGACATCGCTTAGTTCCTGCCGATTGGGGTGCCGGAGCTGGATCATAATTTGCGCGTTCTGCAAAACAGCAAGTCAGTAAGGCGCAGGCGTAGCTGCTCCGGACCCGAGGGCATAAGCTGTTTTGGAGCCTTGTTTCTTGAGGGATAGCGTGCCCTTAGCATCCCAGTATGGGAGTATAGCGTGTGCGGGTCGACCTCATCGCGGCTGATGATCTCGGTTAGCGACTCGGCCCTGAATGTAGTTGGCGCTCGGGATCGGCTTAGCGACATCCCGCACCTCCTTGGTAGCTTCAGCCTCGGCCTGGTGCTCTAGCCGGGTGACAGCCGTTTTCCAAGCGACTACCACCCCTGCGGCCAGAGCTCTCATCGCTAGCGACGTGGTCGGATCGATAGCGAAGCTATCCCGTAGCATCTTCTTTAGATCCGCTTCGTCCGTAGCTGAGGCTGCGAACTTGAGGACGGTATCGATACCGTTGCTGTGTAGCTCGGCCTGATCTCACCCGAGACTTTGTGATGGACTAGCAGCAACCGAAGCTCCGAGGATCCGAAGGCTAGCTTCTTCGCTAGCTCCTCTGCCATGATGCTAGAGTCCCTTTGGGTACCCAGCTTGCTTCGATCCATTGAAAATACAGCAGCTTATAGGCTGCCAAGATCCATCTAGCATTGTGTGTAAGAGCATGGCGGTGAAAGAGTTTGCCTGGCATTGTGTGAGAGCATGGCTGTGAGAGAGTTTGCAACACGTGCTTGGCGAAATGAGCTGTAGCGGTCCGGCCGGGCATTGGCTGGGAAAAGTAGCGAAAGGAAAAAGCTGGCCCCCGGTCCCAGCCCCCTACCCGGTGCTAGCGGAAACGGACGGTCCTGGATCCTAGCCTTCCTGACCCCCCCGTCTCAGCCCTTTCTTACTCTAGCTTTCCTCTTCTGTCTGGCAGACGGACATGACTGTAACACACAACAGTGTTTTGCTGATGTGCTAGCAGCATGTTACTTAGCGGGCCCAAGGCTGGAGAGACTTGCTTGGAGTAACGCCGGGCCTTGCATGCATCGCAGCGGTGCCCCTCACGCACATCTAGCCGCCACCACATCCTGCGATTGCAGGACCGGTAGCCACAGCTTTCACACGCAATAGCACACGGGAAGATGCCATTTTTGTCATCCCAATGCACTATTGCAAATAGCGCTTCTGATCCGTTAACATCGATATCATAGCCTTCCCCTCGGAAGGAGTCTGTGGTGGGCGCTGGGTGGACGCAGGCCAGGTACGTAGCAGTCTTCGCTGAGCTCCAGTAGCGCTGGCAGAACGGGCTGCAGGATGGCATCGGCCCTAAGAGCGATGCCCTTCCCTTTACCTTTGGTGTCCTTGCCACCGTAGGGGTAGCGCGGCTCTGGCCTCTTTCGAAGGGTCCCACGACCCCAGAAGACTTCCTAGCCAGAGCCTGATTGTTCTTCAAACCAACTGGGTCCCCCCGGCACCCCACAAGCCCCCGCGCCCTTTGTAGCGTTAGTTGTGCATGCACCGCCCCAGCACGCAAACCGACACAGATGCAAGTGCCCTAGCAAGACAACACAAATGTCCTAGCGCACATGCCCTCATGCAAGCAACTGTACCCACGGTCTTGATTCTGCATCCAAAAGGTCCGCAGTGTTCTGTGTAAAACGTACGAAAAGGCACAGCGGAAAAAATGACGCTGACTGTACACGCTGCACACTGCAAGAGCAGCTTAAAGCCGGCCTTCACGTACCAAAACGTCGCGAAGCACCAAGTGTTAAGTGAAAAACTGCACAGCACTCGAGCCTACGGGCGACAACAAATTACCGCCTACCGAAGCAAGCAGCGAACACTGCTGCGAAACTTGTGGCCTGAAAAGCGGTCACAGCCTAGGCACAGGACTACACCAAAAAGCGCGGAGCAAGCTTTATCGGACGGCATTCAACGCAGTAGAGCAAGCAGCTCGAGATCAGGTCACGACGCACCCGCAGCCAGCAGCAGCCGCCCCTTCATGTAGAAAAAGGCACGCGAGGCCAAAGCCAGGGCGAAGACTGTGTCTTTTCAACTCCTTCTGCAAAAGCTCACCAGCAGCCGATGCCTGGATGGCATCAAGCTCCCACTTTGTGACAGGTTGCCGTTGAGCCAGCGCTGTCGTTCCGAACAGAGACCTGGAAGGGCCTGCCACTTGGGCCGCAAGCAGTGCGACGGGACCCAGGCAAAAGTCAGCTGCACGCCACAAGTCTCAAGAGACCTCGAAGAAACTTTGGCCTTCTCGACAATCTTGAGCATTTAGCAGCAGCGGTAGCTCTTGCGGAGAACGGCCTGCAACACAGACTGGCAGTCGACAACGAAGATGGCCGTGCCAGTCCAGCCGGTCGCCACAGCAGCACAATGAGGCGCACGGGCCGCGAGCTCAAAGGCCAGCAGCTCTTGCTTGTAAGGCTTTGTAAGGGGACTGACTGGTTTTCATCGCCATTCCAGTCGCACACTTCTAACCATCAGGGTAGACCACGATGGCGACAGAACCAATCTCCATGAGCTCGGAGCCGTCCGTTGCCAGGTAGATCACAGCGGCCTCCTGCATATGCACCTGAAGCGCCTGCACGAGGTCGTCGAAGAGATCCGCCGGGTCCACAGCGACAGGAGCTGGAAGTTGTTCGAGGACGCCTTGAAGAAGAAAACGCTCTTCATACCGGTCGCGAGGGGGTCGAAGGCCTTCGCGAAAGTGCTCTGCACGTTCACAAGCGCGCAAATCCCACAACACATGAGCTCGCGAAGGCTTCAACCCACAGAGGCACTGCCATCTCGCATGTTGCTCCCCAAAGTGGCCGCCAGCGTTGAAGTGCCAGCACGAATTGCCAGCTCCCAAAGCAGCCAACGTGACCGGCCGCAAGTCAAGATCCAAGGCTTTGTCAAAGCCACAGCGTCACGGTGTAGACGAGAGCCCGTGCCTCCGCAATGGCTGGTTGCCCAATCTGGAGGTAGGCCGCAACACACACAGAACCGCTTTGCAGCCCTAATCTATAATGGTTGCAAGGTCCACCAAAGCAGCAGCATGCCGGGTCAATGCGTCATCCTCACACAGCCTTGAAAGGAAAGCCGCGCAGAAGGCGACAGACTCCAGCCTCAGGCAAACTAAAATGAACATGCCAGCCATGCCTCTTTCAATCGTTTGCCCAGGAGGCCCTGGACTCGACATGAGTGTCAGCCTCACGCACTGGCGACCAGGTCGATCTTCCAGGCTTGCAGAAGCGGCACCCCAGGAGATACCGTTCGAAGCAGCATTCAAGCACAGAGATCACAGAGCCTTCAGAAACACGGCGACTCAGAGCGACTAAGGATGACACGGACCTGATCAAACATGGCAATGCCTTGCTGCCTGGTCTCACCTTCAACCTTGCACTCTTCAAACAGCCGGGCTCTCCATCGCCAGAGGTTGGAGCATTCCTTGGGGTATGTCGCCTTGAGATGTCGCTCCGCATCAGCATTAGTGCGGCAAGGGGCATGGCATGAAAGGCACGGAATTTGACCTTAGCACGGTGCTTGCAGATCGTCGCGGCTCTCTTAATGCGCCGGCCCTTGTCTGCGCTGCGCCTGTAATGCAAAGCATTCCACCGCTTCCAAGACACACGGGGATGCACAGTGCGTTTGTGCAGCTGCCTGGCCGTATCAACACGCCACACCGCAGCCGCACCCCCAATATCATAAGGAATGCCACTAGAGCACAAGGGGGCCTCAACCGCATGCCGGGCCACATTGAAGTCAATCACCGCGGCCGCACATCGCCCTTGGGCTTCCGTCACCGGCGAAGCCGCCCGTCGCAGAGGAAATGCGCTGATGAAGGCCACCATGCACAGCCCCCTCCACAGGCGAGCTGCAAACAAGTGTCCTCGCACTCCAAACTGTGCACCCGAGACGGTCCGCACAGCGTCTCGAGTCTATTGGGAGTGCAAACGCGAGTTGACAAAACACAAGCAGCTTCGAGGTACGCTATTCACTGCAAGGCGCAGGCACACCACGGCGGGGCGTGTCGTTTGATCGCAACAACAGCTGGCGGTAGTCGGATACTTT